GGCCGGTGCCCCCCGCGGTGGGGATCCTCCCCGCCTCCAAACTTTGCAGGCTCCGGTGCGGGACAGCCCGCGAGGTGAAGGAGGGACTGCGGACAGCCAGCGGGAGTAACGCCCGCCGCGGGGCTCCAAGTCCGTTCAGTTCCTTGGTGTTACCTATCCGCACGCACCGCATCCCGTGCGTCCGACCCTAAATCCACATGCGCGGAGCAACACATCCCTGCCTGATCTCGCCCAGGCCGCCACGGGCACGGCAAGTTACATACGTGTCCGCTCCGCAAGCTGCCTTCTGCCTGTGGCACTACCCACCGAGCATCCCGTACAGCGTGGCCACGGCTGGGGCTGGCTGGAGAGAGTTTGTTCTCAAAGATAAGACTCAGTTTTAGACTGAAAAGAGCAAAATCTTTTTGCTTTACACCTACAGCTTCAAAGCTGAAATCTTTGATTTAAAGTCATTTTCATCTCCAACTGGTCTGGAGTGACTTGAGTCCTATGAAGCACTGTTTAGCTTTGCATTAAAAGAAAGCCAAAATACAAGGGAAAGAAGCTAGCTATTTCCTCCATCAAGCCTCAAAATATTACCAAAGCTGTTGGAGACAGATTTACTGCTTTCCCCTTCCATTCTGAGCCATGAAGATACTTGACATTACTTGACCTGTAAATCTATTAGATAAGTTTTTTAAATAAGCCACAGATTTACAAGCTAGCACAGGTGGTTCTAGACAAGAATAAGACAACTTGTTTCATAAGAATCTAGTAAAAGTGTTATTTTAGGGTTATTTGAAAAGTCCATTCAAAGATAAGATAACACTAAGAAGCAACTACTGTAAAGCAAAATCCAGCAGCTATTTCTGTACAAAGCTAAGACCATACTGCAACAAACTGTAATCTGATCAGACAATGGCTAAAAAGGACACTTTCAATGAATAGAGGAGAGCCCCCTCAAGTTATATCCTTCTTAACTACAGCTTGAGGGAAAAACTTCAGTCCTAATATAACCTTAATATATTAAACACTTAAGTTCTCACACATTACCAGTACTTGTCTTTTTTAAATAAACTATAGGTCTAAGCTAACATCCTACTCTTACAATCCCAGACTTTCCGTATCATTGATTCTTTACTGCAAGTGCAAATAGGCTCTGTATCCTCTAGACGTTAGCCACTGGAGGGCAACATTACCCATTCATCTTACAATATAGTCCAGTATACAAAAACCCCACACACCTTTGCAATGCTACTAGCTGGTCAGTAAAGCTAATGTAATTAACAAACTCATATGCTTTCAACAGCACTGTCTCTTGCCCAAGGCAAGTGTTGCACATCTGAATTCATACTTTGGAGACACTAAGCTGAACTTGTAAGTGTAAGGCTAATTAATTGATTTTCTTTCATTTCACTTGACACTAATTCAGACAGCAAAAATATGCCAAATTGCTAGTATTTACTTTATGAAAAAGGACATAAATTTAGGAAGTGAAATATGCAAGACTATACATTATGCAAGACTATGCCATTATAATACTATATTAGGTTACTCAGCCTGAAGAAGCTTGCCATAACACAGAGGACCTTGCTGAGTGGGTATTTTCCCCTTCAGAAAAATAGAGCTAAAAGCACTACTGGATACTTGCTGTTCTTTCCCATTGATTTCATGTTGTGTAACTGCAAAGAAGATCAAACAACAGTACTCTTAAGAGCATTAAGTGCAAGGAAGCAGCTTTCATCTGTTTTGCTAGTCAAGCTCCCAAACAGAAATGCAATTATTCTAGAACAAACACACTGTAAAAATTGTGGATTTTTTTCCCCCCAAAGACTTTATTTGTTTCACTTTTTCATGACTACCTCTGATACTTGAAATCTTCCTGCTTACTAGTTCACTGCCAAATATCATGAAGCTGTCCCACAACTTTAAGGATTAACCAAATCAATACAGCTGATAAAGTTCAGAGGTATTTAGGTCTACTTAATGCACTACGCTCTTGGCTGCTCTCTCCAAGATAGGTGCTCCAAGGACAGTGGCATTTGCCTTATTCTTTAGATGCACTGAAATATTTTCAAAGCAGACTTGTGAGCATGTAGAAACAGCTGTTCTAAAGTGGTTTTCATATTTGAAAGTGGCTCAAGTCAGCTGCTTCAACTCTTAGTGGAATAAGCCTCACTTTGGAAGATTATCCAGCAATCCTGCCCATCAGGAATGATTCCACCTCCCTCCCCTGTTACTAAGCAGATCGCACCCAGAAGCCTGCAGACACAGTGACCTATGCTACTGGCTGTAGATGCTCTCCTTCCCTGCATTTAGAAAGGTTAAGGAGCCCTGAGCTTCTGAGAGGCTCCCGGTGGGCAGCAGTGCCAGAGGCTACACCACCTTCAGAAAGGCATTCCCCTCAAGGAGACCTGACCACATGCAGACCATCGCTTCAGCCACATGAAAGCAACTTCACCTCTGCTCCATGTTTGAGAAAGGCTATGGATAAAGACAGCACCATTTGTCCAGCAGTGGATTTGACACTAAAGACAGCAGATTTGACCACCTCCAGCAGTGGTGGAACTTAAAACTGAACTCTGAGTAGCTCTTACTCAGCAGCGTTTACTTCCCTGTATCCAAAGGGATCAGACTCATTTACTTCACTTCAGGGCAGACCAACTTTTCACTCTAGGAAGGTTTCTCTTCCACAAGACCTGCATCTTCTCTGTTATTTGCCTAAGGACTTGCAACACTGGTATGCAATTTATTTTTGATAAAACTGTTCATGCTTCAAAGAGCATATTAATGGTAGACCATTGTACCTCATAGCTAAACATACTAAATGAACAGGCTACATCAGAGTTTGGATCTTCTAGCTACATCGATCTTAAGTCTGTATGACCTCACACTTATATCCTGTATATAAATGACTAAATTCATTGTAAGCATGATGTTTAGAAGTCAAGACAGTTTGATAAAAGGAAGCTGATTCTACAAGAATAACCTATCATGGTTTTGGTGTGCTAGTAGGGCAGCTCTCTTCACTTGCTGAAGATGCCATTTGGCTCATCTTGCACCTCCTGAGCTCTGCTGTTGGTCTTCCTAGTCCTCTTCCCAGTATTCTGCCCCACCCCCCCAAATCATGAAAATCCATTGCCAGTGTCACCACCTACCCTGCTCTCAGCCTGGTAACTTATACTTCAGGGAGAAGGGAAAGCAGAATTTTCATACTGGCCAAAAGTTGTCAGAACAGAATCAAAACATGTCATTAAATGATTATTCCCACTTGTCTTTAGGAAAGAAACCTTGAAGAGTCTCAGTAGACTTCAGTAGAGAAAAAAAACATCAAAAAGTAAACAAGAGAGCTTGACATTAAAAAAAAACTTCAGAGGATACATACTTACAAGCTAGTCTACCCATAGGTATTCTGTGAAAGTACTAAAGAGCCAGTAAAACATGATCACTAGAGTAAAACATTGATTACTACCCATTTTTAAGTTCTGAAGGATCTAAGTTCCATAAACAGTGTCCAATACATCTGGCTTCAACTCTGAGGCATGAGACACTGCTGCAGTCTAATACATTTCCCGCTGTGCTTTACAAGTTCCATGAGTCAGACTTCAGTTATATACTCCCTTTTATAAAGCCCATTCGTTTCTTCAAGGCTCTTACTTCACACTATTTAACAAGTTTATTTTCTAAAAAGAGATGGGATTAAAGCTTGACAAAAATATCAAGTGATTTTATAGCTTTGTCTCATCATTAAGAGAAACCAGGCTTGATGCCCTGACAAATTCACATTGCATTTGTTATCACTTGAAAAGCAACAAATTATAGTTTAATACTCTTACTTCACTGGGCCTGCAAAGATGACATTTTCCATGTATATCTGTCTCCTTAACGTCTGCTCAGTAATAATCATAGCTTCTCTATGATTGAGTAAATAAAGTGTTGTGAATTCTGTAATGTTTTTAAAGATGAGTCACTTGGGATGCTTGCCAACTGTCAGAAGTCACAAGAGAACTCTTAGTGAAACTGTATCACTTAAATAGATTAGCCAGCTAGTTACTACTTCTGTCCTTATCTTGGTGAGGTGCTTGATTGCTCTAACATTTTTAAGAACAAGTGATAATAGAGCAATTAAGCACCTCATCAAGACAGCAGAGCCACAAGCTATGAGAAACAGCAGGTTTGTAATGGAGAAGTTCACCAGACAGGCTTCATCACATCAAGTTTAGAACCTAAAGCAGTACTAAGGGTCACAGCCAAGAATCATCCTACCAGTTTTGCACACTGTTTGAAGGACTAGAATCTAGTAGAAGAAAGGGCACTGCACTAAAGAAGTGACCCCACTTGAGCAGAGTTGGGCTATGGTCTTCAGAGGTCCTTTTTTAGAGGTCCTTTTTAACCTCAACTACTCTGCAATTCTAAGCTTAGACAGTCAAAAGTCAAAGTTTAAGTAGTTGTACAGAGTTCCTTGTGTCCCCCCAACTGTATTAAGTGGCAGTTTTCAGAGACATTTGAAAGACAGCTTTCCTCAGAGCTTAAAAGAGCTTCACCAAAAGCCTCCAAACTTTGTCATTTACAGAACACGTGG